CTCCCACATTTCCCCACTCCCCCATTTCCCCACTCCCACTGTCCCCACTCCCACATTTCCCCACTCCCCCATTTCCCCACTCCCCTGTCCCCGCTCCCTCACCCCCTCGCGCTCTCCCCACCTGGGTGGTGGAGCCGGAGGAGGAGCAGGCCGTGGGGATGGCGCTGCCGAAGGGCGAGCGGCTGAGCTGGGGCAGGGCGGCACCGCCCTGGTGCGGGAGCAGCCCCGAGGGCAGCGGGGTGCTGCAGACCGCCCGCAGCGCCGCGCCCAGCGGGATCGGGTCCTTGTTGCTGGTGTAGATCCCTGCGGGGCAGAAGTGACAGCTGATCCCCGGGGAGAGATCCCTTCTGATCCCAGATATCCCCAGGAGAGATCCCAATTGATCCTGCTAATCCCCAGGGAGAGATCCCTTCTGATCCCAAACATCCTCAGGGAGAGATCCCAATTGATCCTGCTAATCCCCAGGGAGAGATCCCTTCTGATCCCAGACATCCTCAGGAGAGATCCCAATTGATCCTGCTAATCCCCAGGGAGAGATCCCTTCTGATCCCAAACATNATCCTCAGGAGAGATCCCAATTGATCCTGCTAATCCCCAGGGAGAGATCCCTTCTGATCCCAAACATCCTCAGGGAGAGATCCCTTCTGATCCCAAATATCCCCAGGAGAGATCCCTTCTGATCCCACACATCCCCAGGAGAGATCCCAATTGATCCTGCTAATCCCCAGGGAGAGATCCCTTCTGATCCCAAACATCCCCAGGGAATGATTCCTTCTGATCCCAGACAACCCCAGGGAGAGATCCCTTCTGATCCCAAACATCCCCAGGGAGAGATCCTTTCTGATCCCAAATATCTCCAGGAAGAGATTCCAATTCATCCTGCTAATCCCCAGGGAGAGAGATTTCATTCTGATCCCAGACATCCCCAGGGAGAGATCTCTTCTGATCCCAAATATCCCCAGGAGAGATCCCTTCTGAACCCAAATATCCCCAGGAGAGATCCCTTCTGAACCCAAATATCCCCAGGGAGAGATTCCAATTGATCCCAAATATCCCCAGGGAGAGATTCCAATTGATCCCGCTAATCCCCATGGAGAAAGATTCCAATTTGTGCCGCTAATCCCCAGAAAGAGATTCCAATTGATCCCGTTAACCCCCAGGGAGAGGAGATTCCAATTTATCCCATTAATCCTCAGGGAGAGGAGATTCCTTGTTTTGGGATTGGGAATACTCAGGAATGGGAACACTCGGGAATGGGAACATTCGGGAATGATTTGGGATGTTCCCAGCTCAGATCTGCACTCCAGATTTCATCTTTTGGGAAGCTGATCAGGGGGAGATCCCAGGGTGATGGAACTGGATATCTGGATCTGGACATGGCTAAATGTGCTGGAAAAGGCCAGAAAATCCTGGAAAACTCTGTGAAAATTTGGGAAAATTCCGGAAAAGAGCACACCCGAATCCCTCAGGGAGAAACCCACCTGAGCCCAGCAGCGGCGACTCCATGCTGAGGCTGGGCAGGCTGCCGGCGTGGCCGAAGCTCCGGGATGAATTCCCAACGCTGGAGCTGACCAGGGATCCCCCGGAGAAAGGCGAGGAGGAGGTGGAGGTGGACCCAGCCAGCTGAGCCCCCAAAACCTCTTTGCCTTTACCCGCCTTGGGCCTGCCGGGGCCGTGCTTGTTCTTCTTGCTGCCCTTGTGCTTCTTCTCCTTGAGCACCTCGCCCTCCTCGGCGCCCGTCCGCTTGTGCCCGCCGCCCGCGGTGCCACCCACGGTGCCACCCACGGTGCCACCCACGGTGCCACCCGCGGTGCCACCCGCGGTGCCACCCGCCGTGCCACCCACCGTGCCACCCGCCGTGCCACCCGCGGCGCCGCCGGCCGAGGAGGATTTGTAGTCCACGGGGGAGGCGTCGCGGGCTCGCGGCGGGCCCACGGCCGAGGTGGAGAAGCGCATGATGGAGCCGAAGCCGGAGAAGATGACCTTCTGCTCGAAGACGTCGGCCTTGGGGCCCTCGGAGAGCGGCGAGCAGCGCGAGGACGAGCTGGAGCTGGCGGCTTTGCGGAATTTCTCCTCCTCCTGCTCCAGCTTGGGGAAAGGAGCGAAGTCCTGGGAGCCGGGCAGGCCGCAGGAGGAGCCTGGGGACACGCGGGGTCACTGGGGCTTCATCGCCCTCCTCCTCCTCCTCCTCCTCCTCCTCCTCCTCCTTCATTGCTCTGCTTTTCTCCTTCATCTTTCTCCTCTTCCTTCTCCTCCACCCTTCTTCTCCCCCTCATCCTCCCCCTTTTGCTCCTCCTTCATCGCTCTCCTCCTCCTCCTCCTTCTCCTCCTCCTCCTCCTCCTCCATTGCTCTGCTTTTCTCCTTCATCTTTCTCCTCTTCCTTCTCCTCCACCCTTCTTCTCCCCTTCATCCTTCCTCTTTTGCTCCTCCTTCATCCCTCTCCTCCTCCTCATCGCTCTCCTCCTCCTCCTCCTCCTCCTCCTCCTTCATTGCTCTGCTTTTCTCCTTCCTCTTTCTCCTCTTCCTTCTCCTCCACCCTTCTTCTTCTCCCCTTCATCCTCCCCCTTTTGCTCCTCCTTCATCGCTCTCCTCCTCCTCCTCGTTCATCCCTCTCCTTTTCTCCTTCATCCCTCTCCTCTTCCCTGTGCTTCATCGCTCTCCTCTTCCTCTTCCTCCTCCTTCATTGCTCTCCTTTTCTCCTTCATCGTTCTCCTCTTCCTCCCTCCCAATCCCTCCCCTCTTCCCTGTCCTCCATCCCTCTCCTCCATCCTTCTCCTTCTGCCCTTCATCCTTCCCCCTTTTCTCCTCCTTCATCCCTCCCCTCTCCCTCCTCCTCCTCCTCTTCCTCCTCCTTAATCCCTCTCCTCTTCACTGTTCTTCATCCCTCTCCTCTTCTTCCTCCATCCCTCTCCTTTTCTCCTCTCTCCTTCATCCCTCTCCTCTTCCTCCTTCATTGCTCTCCTTTTCTCCTTCATCCCTCCCCTCTCCCTCCTCCTCCTCCTCTTCCTCCTCCTCCATCCCTTTCCTTTTCTCCTTCATCCCTCTCCTCCTCCTTGCCCTTCATCCCTCTCCTCTTCATCCTCCTTTATCCTTCCCCTCTTCTTTGTCCTTCATCCCTCTCCTCCTCCTCCTCCTTCATTGCTCTCCTTTTCTCCTTCATCCCTCTCCTCTCCTCTCCCACCTCCTTCATCTTTCCCCTCTCCCTCCTCCTCCTCTTCCTCCTCCTTAATCCCTCTCCTCTTCCTCCTTCATCCTTCCCCTCTTCCTTGTCCTTCATCCCTCTCCTCCTCCTCCTCCTCCTTCATTGCTCTCCTTTTCTCCTTCATCCCTCCCCTCTCCCTCCTCCTCCTCCTCTTCCTCCTCCTCCATCCTCCTCTTCCTCCTCCTCCATCCCTCTCCTTTTCTCCTTCATCCCTCTCCTCTTCCTCCATCCCTCTCCTTTTCTCCTTCCTCCCTCCTCCTCCTCCTCTTCCTCCTCCTCCATCCCCCTCCTTCCTCCCTCCTCCTCCATCCTCCTCTTCCTCCTCCTCCATCCTCCTCCTCTTCCTCCTTCATCCCTCTCCTCTTCCTCCATCCCCCTCCCTCCTCCTCCTCCTCCTCCTGCCCCTCACCCGCCGCCTGGAAGTTCCCTCCGGCCGCTCCGAAGCCTCCGGAGCTTTTCCCGCTTCCCGTCTTCTTCCCCTTGTGGCTGCTGCCGTGGCTGGAGGATTTCCGGCCCTTGGCCTCCGCCCTGGCCACCTCCGAGCCCTCCTTGGTGGCCTCGTGGTGGCCACCGGGGCCCTGGGGGGACAGGCACGGGTGACACCGGAGCTGCCCGCCCACAGGACTCCTTTTCCCCGATTTCCCCCATTTTCCTGATTTTTCCCTCTCCGGAGCGGGAATTTCCTCATCTTTGGGATGGGGAATTTCCAGGAAATTTCCTCGTTCTCAGCACGGCACTGGAGATTCCTCATGGGAATTTCCTCATCCTTATGGTGGGGTCAGAGATTCCTTGTGGGAATTTCCTCATCTTTGGGACGGGGAATTTCCAGGAAATTTCCTCGTTCTCAGCACGGCACTGGAGATTTCCATGGGAATTTCCTCATCCTTATGGTGGGGTCAGAGGTTCCCCATGGGAATTTCCTCATCCTTTGGGATGGGATCAGAGGTTCCCCATGGGAATTTCCTCATCCTTGGGATGGGATCGGAGATTCTTCGTGGGAATTTCCTCATCTTTGGGATGGGATCAGAGGTTCCCCATGGGAATTTCCTCATCCTTGGGATGGGACTGGAGATTCCTCATGGGAATTTCCTCATCTTTGGGATGGGATCAGAGGTTCCCCATGGGAATTTCCTCATCTTTGGGATGGGATCGGAGATTCCTCATGGGAATTTCCAGGAAATTTCCTCATTCTCAGTATGGCACTGGAGATTCCTCATGGGAATTTCCTCATCATTGGGATGGGATTGGAGATTCTCCAGAGGAATTTTCAGGAAATTTCCTCATCCTCGGAATGGGATCAGAGGTTCCCTATGGGAATTTCCTCATCCTTGGGATGGGATCAGAGGTTCCCCATGGGAATTTCCAGGAAATGTCCTCATTCTCAGTATGGCACTAGAGATTTCCATGGGAATTTCCTCATCCTCGGGATGGGATCAGAGGTTCCCCATGGGAATTTCCTCATCCTTGGGATGGGATCAGAGGCTCCCCATGGGAATTTCCAGGAAATTTCCTCATTCTCAGCATGGGACTGGAGATTTCCATGGGAATTTCCTCATCCTCGGGATGGGATCAGAGGTTCCCCATGGGAATTTCCCCATCATCCGGATGGGATTGGAGATTCTCCATGGGAATTTTTGGGAAATTTCCTCATCCTTGGGATGGGACTGGAGATTCCTCATGGGAATTTCCTCATCCTTGGGATGGGATTGGAAAATCCCCCATGGGAATTTCCTCATCCTTGGGATGGGATCAGAGGTTTCCCATGGGAATTTCCAGGGAATTTCCAGGGAATTTCCTCATCCTCAGGATGGGACCAGAGATTCCCTTGGATCCCTGCATCCATCCCAAAGCTCTGGCTGGGAATATTCCCAGGGATTGGAGCAGATATTCCCAAATTCCAGCCGAGCTGCAGGAGCCAGGGGAGACAGGAGGGTGAAAATGCCAGGAAATCCAAAATTTCGGGATGAGAGGGAGAACTGTGGGAATTCAGCCGGGAGGGAGAGAGGGATGAACCCAAACCCAGATCCCTCAAATCCCGAATCCCTTCAAATCCCAAATCCCCTCAAATCCAGAGCGCCAAATCCGCCCTGCGACCAAAATTAAAAAATATTCCCGTAATTATGGGACGGCCCAAAATGTGGGACCTTCCTGACATCCCCCCAAGCCCTCCTTGGGATAAATCCCGGGATCCAAATCCCTGGATTTAATCCCCCGACAGCTGCAGGCGCCAGATGTGCCCGGAATTTGAAGGGATGGGAACGGGGGAATTCCAGGGATTTTCTCCTGCCAGCCCCAGATGTGGGAATTAAAACCCTCCCGGATTTATGGGCTCGGCGGGAGCGTGGAAATTCATCCCGATTTTTCCTTGGGAAGGGGAGCAGGGCCTGGGGGTGGGAATGGTCTGGTGAAAATGCCCTTTTCCCGGTTTTTTGGTGGATTTTCCAGCCCTTTTCCCATTTTTTTGGGGTGGATTTTCCTGACCATTTTTCCTGTTTTTCTGGGTGGATTTTCCTGCCCTTTTCCCATTCTCCTGGATGAATTTTCCTACCCTTCCCCATTTTCCTGGATGGATTTTCCTTCCCTTTCCCAGTTTTCTGTGTGGATTTCCCTGCTCCATTTCCCTGTTTTTTTTTGGCTGAATTTCCTGGATGCATTTTCCTTCCCTTTCCCGTTTGCCTGGATTAATTTTCCCACCCTTTCCCATTTTCCCAATGAATTTTCCCTCCTTTCCCCATTTCCCACTGGATTTCCCCACCATTCCCATTTTTCCCGTGATTTTTCCACCATTCCCATTTCCCAGTGGATTTTCCTTCCCTTTCCCATTCCCCCCCGGATTTTCCCACCCTTTCCCGTTTTCCTGGATGAATTTTCCCACTCTTCCCCATTTTCCCAATGAATTTTCCCACCCTTTCCCATTTTCCTGATGAATTTTCATTCCCTTCCCCATTCCCAACTGGATTTCCCTGCCATTCCCATTTTCCCAGTGGATTTTCCTTCCCTTTCCCATTCCTCCCTGGATTTTCCCACCCTTTCCCATTTTCCTGGATGAATTTTCATTCCCTTCCCCATTCCCAACTGGATTTCCCTGCCATTCCCATTTTTTCCGGGATTTTTCCACCATTCCCATTTTCCCAGTGGATTTTCCTTCCCTTCCCCATTTCCCGTTGGATTTTCCCACCATTCCCATTTTCCTGGATGAATTTTCATTCCCTTCCCCATTTCCCCCCTGGATTTCCCCACCATTCCCATTTTCCCTATGAATTTTCCTTCCCTGTCCCATTTCCCACTGGATTTCCCCACCATTCTCATTTTCCCAGTGGATTTTCCTTCCCTTCCCCATTTCCCGTTGGATTTTCCCGCCATTCCCATTTTCCTGATGAATTTCCCCACCCTTCCCCATTTCCCGCTGGATTTCCCCGCCATTCCCATTTTCCTGATGAATTTCTCTTCCCTGTCCCATTTCCCGCTGGATTTCCCCGCCATTCCCATTTCCCAGTGGATTTCCCCGCCATTCCCATTTTCCCACTGGATTTCCCCGCCATTCCCATTTCCCAGTGGATTTCCCCGCCATTCCCATTTTCCCTATGAATTTCCCTTCCCTTCCCCATTTCCCGCTGGATTTCCCCGCCATTCCCATTTTCCCAGTGGATTTTCCCTCTCTTCCACATTTCCCAGTGGATTTCCCTCCCTTTCCCATTTCCCACTGGATTTCCCCGCCATTCCCATTTTTCCCAGGATTTTCCCACCATTCCCATTTTCCCTATGAATTTTCCTTCCCTGTCCCATTTCCCGCTGGATTTTCCCGCCATTCCCATTTTTTCCGGGATTTTCCCACCATTCCCATTTTCCCGCTGGATTTTCCTTCCCTTCCCCATTTCCCCCTTGGATTTCCCCACCATTCCCATTTTCCCGCTGGATTTTCCTTCCCTGTCCCATTCCCCCCTGGATTTTCCCTCCTTTCCCATTTCCCGCTGGATTTTCCCGCCATTACCATTTTTTCCGGGATTTTTCCACCATTCCCATTTTCCCAGTGGATTTCCCTTCCCTGTCCCATTTCCCGCTGGATTTTCCCACCATTCCCATTTTCCCACTGGATTTCCCGCCATTCCCATTTTCCCGGGATTTTCCCGCCATTCCCATTTTCCCGGGATTTTCCCGCCATTCCCGTTTTTCCGGTACCTTCTCGGCAGCCGCGGGCGCCGGGGGGAGGCTCCCGGGGGATTCCGGCCGCTTTTTGTGCTTCTGCTTCGGCCTCTCCTTGTCCTTCCGGCTCTGGAAAAAAAACCCCAAAACCTCGGGAATGTCGGAATTCCCAACGCTGGGAAGAGCAGCGCCGGAGCCCAGAAGGAAATCCCAGAAATAAATCCCTGTTCCCATTGTTTTCCAGTGTCAGATCCCATAAATAAATCCAAATAAATCCCTTTTCCAGCACAAATCCCAGAAATAAATCCCTGTTCCCGTTGTTTTCCAGTGTCAGATCCCATAAATAAATCCAAATAAATCCCTTTTCCAGCACAAATCCCATAAATAAATCCCCGTTCCTGTTGTTTTCCAGTGCCAGATCCCATAAATAAATCCAAATAAATCCCTTTTCCAGTGAAAATCCCATAAAGCAATCCCATAAATAAATCCCTGTTCCCGTTGTTTTCCAGTGTCAGATCCCATAAATAAATCCAAATAAATCCCTTTTCCAGTGAAAATCCCAGAAATAAATCCCTGTTCCCATTGTTTTTCAGTGCCAGATCCCATAAAAAAATCCAAATAAATCCCTTTTCCAGCACAAATCCCAGAAATAAATCCCCGTTCCCGTTGTTTTCCAGTGTCAGATCCCATAAATAAATCCAAATAAATCCCTTTTCCAGCATAAATCCCAGAAATAAATCCTCATTCCTGTTGCTTTCCAGTGCCAGATCCCATAAATAAATCCAAATAAATCCCTTTTCCAGCGCAAATCCCAGAAATAAATCCCCGTTCCCATTGTTTTTCAGTGCCAGATCCCATAAATAAATCCAAATAAATCCCTTTTCCAGCGCAAATCCCAGAAATAAATCCCTGTTCCCATTGTTTTTCAGTGTCAGATCCCATAAATAAATCCAAATAAATCCCTTTTCCAGCGCAAATCCCAGAAATAAATCCTCATTCCTGTTGTTTTCCAGTGTCAGATCCCATAAATAAATCCAAATAAATCCCTTTTCCAGCGCAAATCCCATAAATAAATCCCCGTTCCCATTGTTTTTCAGTGCCAGATCCCATAAATAAATCCAAATAAATCCCTTTTCCAGTGAAAATCCCATAAAACAATCCCATAAATAAATCCCTGTTCCCATTGTTTTCCAGTGGCAGATCCCATAAATAAATCCAAATAAATCCCTTTTCCAGTGAAAATCCCATAAATAAATCCCTGTTCCCATTGTTTTCCAGTGGCAGATCCCATAAATAAATCCAAATAAATCCCTTTTCCAGCGCAAATCCCAGAAATAAATCCCTGTTCCTGTTGCTTTCCAGTGGCAGATCCCATTAAAAAATCCCATTTTCCCCAGTAAAATCCCATAAAGAAATCCCAGAAATAAATAAATCCCATTCCCAGCACGAATCCCATAAAAAAATCCCAGGAATAATCCCCTCTTCCTTTTGTTTTCCAGCACAAATCCCATTAAAAAATCCCAGAAATGAATCCCTATTTTTGTTGTTTTCCAGCACAAATCCCATAAATAATCCCAAATAAATCCCTGTTCCTATTCTTTTCCAGCACCAGATCCCATAAAGATAATCCCATCCCAAACCATTCCCAAAAATTCATTTTCATGCCAAAAATCCGCCCGAAATGTGAATTTTTAACCCATTAAACTGCGAATTTGAGGGGGAAAATTCTGGATTTTGAGGTCCGGGTTGAGGGAATGGTGGGAATTTTTGGGGGATTTTGGGGATTTGGGTTTTTTTTTTGGGATTTTGGGGGATTTTGGGGGTTTTCTCACCTTTTTTGGCCGCTCGTGGTGGGCCGGGGGCTTTTCCTGGGGGGGCGAGGCCGAGCGGCTCCTGCGGCCCGGGAGGAAGGAGCCGGAATGGCGAGAGGTCTGGGGGAAAAAAGGGGGAAAAAGGGGGAAAGGGGGAAAAAAGGGGAAAAAAGGGGGAAAAAAGGGGAAAAAAGGGGGAAAGGAGGGGAAAAAAGGGGAAAAAAGGGGGGAAAAAGAGGAAAAAAAGAAAGAAAAGGGGAAGAAAAATCAATGAAAATTCCCTAAATAAATAATCAAATTCCCTAAATAATCAAATTCCCTAAAGAAATCAAATTCTCTAAAGAAATCAAATTCCCTAAAGAAATGAAAATTCCCTAAATAATCAAATTCCCTAAAGAAATGAAAATTCCCTAAAGAAATGAAAATTCCTAAAATAATCATATTCTCTAAAGAAATCAAATTCCCTAAAGAAATCAAATTCCCTAAAAAAAAGGAAAATTACCTAAGTAATCTAATTCCCTAAAGAAATTAAAATTCCCTAAAGAATTCCCAAAATAATCAAATTCCCTAAATAATCAAATTCCCTAAATAATCAAATTCCCTAAAGAAATCAAATTCCTTAAATAATCGAATTACCTAAATAAATGAAAATTCCCCAAATAAATCAAATTCCTTAAAGAAATGAAATTTCCTAACGAAATCAAATTCCCTAAAGAAATGAAAATTCCCTGCAGAATCAAATTTCCTAAAGAAATCAAATTCCCTGCAGAATCAAATTCCCTAAATAATGAAATTCCCTGCAGAATCAAATTCCCTAAATAAATAAAAATCCCCTAAAAAAATCAAATTTCCTAAACAAATCCAACCCAGCAAATGAAATAAAAACTCCCAAAAAAAGGCGAAATAAATAAAAATAAATCAAAAATTCTCCAAGCAAACCAAAAATGCCGGCAGGAAATGAAATTGGTGAAGGAAACGAAATTCCCCGGATCGAGGGAAATTCCCGAAATTCCCGAAATTCCCCCAAAATTCCCGGGATTTTGGGCTCACCATCTTGCTGAAGTGATATTTGCAGTAGCCGCAATATTTGACGTTGTCGACCTCCAGCACCTCCTCCTCACACAGGAGCCCAGCCATCTGTGCACTGCGGAAAAATGGGAAAAATTGGGAAAAATTGGGGAAATTTGGGAGGAAATGGGGAAAAATGGGGAAATTGGGGGGGAAAATGGGGAAAAATGGGGAAAAAAAGGGAAATAAATGGGGAAAAAATGGGGGAAGAAAACGGGAAAAACTGGTGGGGAAAAATGGACAATTGGGGGGAGAGAATGGGAAAATTGGGGGGAAATGGGAAAATTGGAGGAAAATGGGAAAAATGGGAAATTGGTAGGAAAACATGGAAAAGCAAGGAAAATGGGGAGAGTGGGGAAAAAATGGGAAAAAGTAGGGAAATTGGGGGAAATGGGGAAAATGGGGAAAAGGGGAAAAAATGGGGGAAATTGGGGGGAAAATGGAGGGAAATGGGAAAATTGGGGGGAGAAAATGGGAAAAAATGGGAGAAAATGGAAAAAATGGGAAAACTGGTGGAAGAAAATGGGAAAACTGGTGGAAGAAAATGGGAAAAATGGGGGGAAGTGGGGAAAAAATGGGAGAAAATCGGGTGAAATGGGAGAAATGTGGGGGAAATGAGAAAAATGGGAAAAATGGGGGGAGATGAGAAAAATTGTGTGGAAAAATGGGAAAATTGGGAGGAAATGGGGAAAAAATTGGGAAAAATGGGAAGATTGAAGGCATAATGGGAAAAAAATGGGGAAAATGGGAAAATTAGGGGAAAATTGGGCAAATGGGCAAAAATGGGGGGAGAAAATGGGAAAAATGGGGGAAATGGGGGGAAAATGGGGAAAAATGGGAAGAATGGGAAAATTGAGGAGGGGAAGGTGAAAAATGGGAAAATTGGCAGGAAAATAGGGAAAAATGGGAAAACTGGGGGGAGATGGGAAAAATTGTGGGGAAAATGGGAAAATAGGGAGGAAATGGGGAAAAAATTGGGAAAAATGGGAAGATTGAGGGGATAATGGAAAAAAATGGGGAAAATGGGAAAATTAGGGGGAAATTGGGCA